GAGAGGAGTCAGCTGAGGTGGCTTGGGCATTTACATCGCATGCCCCCCGGACGCTCGGGTGCCGTCCCTCTGGGAGGAGACCGTGGGGAAGACCTAGGACACGCTGGAGCGACTACGTCGCTCAGCTGGCCTGGGAACGCTTTGGGGTCCCCCCAGAAGAGCTGGAGGAAGTGTCGAGGGAGAGGGAAATCTGGGTGTCCCTGCTCAGACTGTTGCCCCTGCGACCCGGCCCCGGATAAGCGGTTGATGATGGATGGAGAGTCTTTTGAATTTTCAAAACAAACTGTTAACAAACCAGACCATGTTAATGTTCATAGATCTTTATTAATTTAATTTTATATCTTGCGTATTTTTTTCATTCTTAAGGCATGACGACAGAAAGTGGAACATGATTGTTAACGTACAAAGAGAGGCAGAAAAATCTCTCCCTGTTCTCTGCATCTTTATTTACACTCTGCCACATTACATAAATAGGTATCAAGCAAAAAGTTACATGAGGCACCGCACGGCTAACCACAGGCTAAGTGTAACGCTTGCTACATGGCAACGAACAGTTCCTCACCTCATGCCACTGCGCCACTTTCCAGCTGTGCCTGGGACTTCCATTCACCAAAAAAAAAAATAGAATATTTTATTTTTTGTGCATAACTTTTCCTAAACCCTTTGGCTAAAATGTATAAAACAAGGCCCCGCTGTTTCCGTGTTTGCATTGTTTCTCCTGTGATTATAGAAAAGAAGGGAAACCACAAATATAGACCGTCTTTGACTCTACAATCTTAAACTGTTGTAAAATAGGATGTGTACCAGGCCACGGACTAAAGTACTCTGAAAAATACAAGAACAGTAGTACAGTGTTCGACAACTAAACCGACCACACGTGTCCTAATTAATTACAGTTGACTTGGTGACATCACAATGACGTCACTCCAGTAAACATCTTCAGGAAGTCACATTCACAAACAGTAGAAACTAAATTAATTTTTGGCATCTACACCGTACACAGTCAACGTGCAGAGAAAAACAAACCACCAAAGTCAAGATGCTGAAAGTGCAAACTACGTAAACTTTAACATTATTTTAACATAATAAATAGCAATATATTACTAATATATATTATTTAAAATATCTTAACCAAGCATAAAGAACAATTTTCAATAATTCTCTGTGGTGAACGATAAAAATTAAATAAAAAACACACACATTATGTACCGGTGACTACAGCAGTAGCACATGCTCAGGCACAGATGTTCAGTATGGGATCTGATTTTGGTAATACTGGATCATGTCGTAGGTTTTACTCCTGCAAGACAGAAAAGAGGGAAAACATTTTAAATTTGTCATTTTAAATTTAATTTAAAATTAATTACAGCTGGCAGATGAATTAGGTGAGGACTAAAGTGGTATTATTGTAGAAAAGACTGGGTCCCAAAGACTGGGTCGCGACCCTCAGGTGGGTCGAGTTTTTTTTTTTTTTTTGGGTCATCTCGCATCATGTTTCCCAGGAGTTTTACGAATAATGTCTATTGACTTGGGCCATATTTTAAAATATCGGTCCCCAGAAAAAAAGTTTGGGAAACACTACTGTAAACCATACAGACCTGTTGCTGAGGAAACAGTTCTGGATAACTTTGATGATGAAGGACGCTGCGTCTTTCTCGCTCAAACCGGGATTAAACCGCTGCCTGGATGGAGGAGGGAAATAAAGGAGAGATAATAAATGTGTCCATTCACAGCAGCTCAAACTGACTGGCCCAACATGTCTGAACTCACTTCAGTAATTTAATGGTTTGTCCTCTGAAGCAGGGAAGACCGGTGTCCAACATGAGGTTTACCAAGGAGACCACTCCGTCCATGTAGGGCCTGATTGACCAGAAGAACATGAATTACCATCAAGCATCATGGTGGTGCAGTGGTGCAGTGACCTGCAGATCGCGTCGACGTACTGACCTGACAGCCAGGTATCCTCTCACACACATCTCCATGAACCACTTGAAGGGCGTGGCCTCCATCTTACCGCCCATGATCATCACCATCTCATCTGTTAGCTTGATGTCAGGTTCCCAGCCCAGGTTCCCACCAGGAGAACTTTCAAACATGAACCCAAAGTCTGGAGAGACAAACACAAAACATGTCAGCTACACCATTGTTTCCCAAAGACTGGGTCGCGACACTTTTTTTTTTTTGGGTCGTCTCGCATCATGTTTACGATTAATGTCTATTGACTTGGGTTGTGAGGTTCGTAACTTTTAAAATATGGGTCCCTAGAAAAAACATTTTGGGAAACACTGAGCTACACTGTCCTACTGCGGGACAAAGACAAACTGTGTCTCACACACACACACACACACACACACACCGATGTGGATGAGGTGGCCCTGACTGTCCAGCATGATGTTGCCGTTGTGTCTGTCCTTGATCTGCAGCAGGAAGAGCAGCAGGCTGTAAGCAGCCATGCTGCGGATAAAGTTGTACCGCGCCTGAAAGAACGAAAGAGTCGGGAGAAAAGTGTTAAAAAAAAAAAAAGATTTAAAAAAAAAAAGACCAGTGATGTGGTCAGATTGGACATTCACCTTCTGGAAGGCCAGGGTTGACTCGTCTCCATACTGGTTCCTGAAGTAGTCATACATGCCGAAATCAGTCTGTCGGCCCAGCTGATCTCTGGACTTACAGTCTGGGATGCACTCAATGACGCCACACTGTGGTGGAACAGCAAAAAGAGTGAAGGAATATTGAATTACTGGAGCTGCCAGAGTTGTTGCCATAGTAACAAGTTATAGCATACGAACCCCACTACAACAAGTACAAATGATGCCACAAACCCACGGTGACTGACCCAACTGATGATCTGTCACGGCACACTAATGTGCCACGGCACAGATGTTGGGAATCATTGTTTTGGAGAAAATTCTGGACCATTTTTGTTCTTGATTTTGATCAATCAAATGTTTTTATAAATTCACAGTCTTAACAATTCGATTTAAGGTTTCAGGAAGTAATGTTTATTATTGCTAAAAAGAATCCTTTGTAATTATTCCCTTAGTTTGAACTTACGCCAGGAGCTGTGGCCACGACTCTGTAAGGAAACACGTAGAGGTCTAATCCCACCAGCTGGAAGATATTCTTAAACAGGCTGATGATCTGAAGAGCCAGCATGTCCTGGAAACACCAAAGGAAATGACGGTTAAAACAAGTATGTCAAAGTTATGATGAAACATTAAGTTTAGACTTGAATAAAGTCAGACACCTGTCTGCAGTCGTCGCCCACTTTAAAGATGGCCGCCTGCCAGCAGACCCTCTTGGCCTCTTCTTCGTTCTTTTCATCTACAGAATCTGAACGACACTGCAAACCTGGGGGGAAATATCTTCTCATTTCAGCATTTGTAAATATTAAGAATCTACTTTTGATTTTTTTTTCTCCTCACTGGCTTTACCTTCTTTTTCCAGCTCACTGACTCCACAGCGCTTTACTTTAAATTTAGCCAGATACGGAGCTTTGGCAGCACTAAACAGTGATGGAGAGAGATGTGCTGTGAATATCTAGTGAATATGTGAAACAACGAGAGCGGGCAGGGGTTATTTTTTGGGACCCACCTCTGCATGGGGGTCCCGGACTTGTAGTCGATATCCAAAACTATGGCCTCAGGATTACTGGGGAGATAACAGCCAGGCTGGACCTTGATCTGTGACATGGCCTCCAGGCAGGCTCTCTTCCTCTCCTCACCTTTGGGAAAAGGCCTGAGGAAGAAAAACAACAACAACAACAACCTGAGCACAGAGTTTCCACGCCTACTCTGACTGACTGGACTGGGAACATGCGTGAGTATCTGACAGGATGACTCCAGACTGCATGTGACAGTCGGGCTCTGCTACTATTCACAGAGGTAACTCACTTGGGTACAAAGTAATTGCTCGTAGCAGCAGTGAAGGGACAGTAGACCATTTCCACCCCTGATGTGTTACAATTAGTGATGTAATGAGGGAAAAGGAGAGTTCTTTCTGCCACCAGGGGGCTGACAAAAACATGCTGTCCGTGAGCCGGCAATAATGGGCCCTGTCACCAAAAGCTCATCAGCAGCGGAGTCTACACACAGGCGCAAAGGTCATCAGGGGCAGCAGGCGCTCAGCACATAATATATTCCAGACCAGTGCATAATCAGAGAGACAGTAGAGCAAAACAGTGGCCAAATAAATTAACAGCACGGGGATTGTGGGAGCAAATCAAAGCTGTGTGAGACAGGTAGAGGACAAAACAGGTCGACTCAGGGGTAAACCTGTTATCAGTGCATTAACGTAATGAAGATAACGCCGAGGTGGTGAGTATTTCATTAGGGATGAACATCCAATAACAAAGAAGTTGAACTTTGCTACAGAAGTCTCTCCAATAGAGTTAACATGACATTTTATGGGGACATGACACAAACGGACCGGCTGCGACTGAAAGAATCCCAGCAAGAACCAAATTACTGTTTGTTTACATGTATAAATGCACAGTGACATATAAAGCAGGAGAAATCTCATGACATACAAGGTAAAAAGTGAAAAACACGTGCTAAATGACCTTTGAACTCTTCGATGCCATTAACATGGCCACATGGGCTCAGGAAACTGGAGTAAATCACTGTAGCTTCAAACAATCTAATGCTTCAGTAAAATTCTAATCTAAGAAAAAAAATCTGTTTTTTCCAGGGGGAAAAAAGTCACTTTCTCCATACAATCCATCTACCTATCTATCTACCTACCCATTCATCCATTTAGGAAGGAAAGTGAACTCTTTGTCATTGTGACACAGCACCACTGCACACAACCAAATGTGACCTCTGCTTTTAATCCATCACCAAAGTGAACAGTGGGCAGCTTTAATGGGAGCAGTGAGTGGAGACAGTGCCTTCCAGACCCCAGTCCGCTTCCTAAACCACTAAGTCACCACTGCCCCTACTTATCCATCCATCTACCTATCCATCCATCCATCCATCCACCTATCTACCTATGCATCCATCCACCTATCTATCCATCCATCCATCCATCCACCTATCCATCCATCCATCTACCTATCCATCCATTCATTCATCCATCTACCTATCCATCCATCCACCCATCTACCTATCTACTTATCTATCTATCCATCCATCTATCTATCCATCCATCTATCCATCTATCCATCCACCTATCTACCTATTTATCCATCCATCCATCCATCCATCCACCCACCTATCTACCTATCTACATATCCATCCATCTACCTATCCATCCACCCATGCATCATGTTTAAAGGTGTTTATTCTATAGATCAAAATCCTGTCCTCACTTGATAATGGCCGACACGTTGGTGACCTTGTTGAAAAAGTCAAATTCTCTCTGGTAGAAGTCTTTGGCTGGACCTGACAGAGAGCCGGTGATCTCCTCCACCATCTGCTCCAACAGCTCACCGATATCAGCTGTGGGAAATCAAGAGTAGACCGGAAGAAATCAGAAAATCTCATGATCGCACATTGAGACTTGACCGCCGGAGGGATGCTCTTACGATCTTTTTGGCTTCCTTCCTCATCCAGGTAAATGTTGGTCTTCATGTTCCAGATAAACTGGTGAGCCAGCAGCTGAGACTTCTGAGCTGCCCATAGGATGTACTCTCTGACGTAACCCATCTGCACCAGGACGTGAGAGGAACAATGAAAGAAGGACATGGCTGTAAAATTTTACTTAAAAAAAAAAAAAAAAAATATTGTACAAAAAAAAACAATATTAAATTACCTTATCATACCGAAGTGCTTGTACAATCTGAGGAATGTAAAACAAAATTGCATCCTGGAAACAGCAGAGGGAAAAAAAGATTAATTATGAGGCAAGTTAATCAACTGGTAATATATGTTGTATTTTTTCTTTTCAGCCTCATCTTTGGTACATTTCTTAAAGAAACACTAACTAAGACTTTTGCTGATTGTGTTGGTTTACGTACAGGCGGAAAAGAGCGGAGCACTTTGACCCCGTACTGAGCAGTGAGTGGGTGAGGAGGGTACATGGAGGAAAAGTAGGAGAGGCCAGTGGGAGGATCAGCCGGGGCCCAGCACAGGATATGACTCAGCTCTGGAGAGTCAGCATCAATGGTGTGCCATGTCACTAAAAACTGAAAAACAGAAGGTGGAAGAAAAAAAAACATTGGTCTTGGTGTCTGGGAGGGTTGTTTGTCATCGTTGTGTTGAAAACTTGGACTTAGATAATAAACAAGTGAACACATTTACAGAGATGCAAAGGTGTTGAACATATTCATGGCCAATATGTTGACGTCTGTGATGTAAAGGTCACATGGTCAAACCTGAGTCAGAAGCACGTTTACCTCATAACAGTGGTTCTCAAACTGTGCTACGCGTACCACGAGTGGTACGCAAGCGCTATATAGTGGTACGTGGGGAAAATTCACATTTTTACATTTACATTTTCAGTTGAATAAATCTGAAACATACCATGTACAATTAATACAATATTTAAACATAAACATTTCTAAACATCTCTCCTGTGGTGGAAGCTAACAGTGAAGGTCTATGCTGCTATATTCTAATGTTGGTCATCATGGTGGTACTCAGAGAGATCAAGGTTTTCTCAGGTGGTACAGAGTAGAAACAGTTGGAGAACCACTGCCTTATAAGATTAAATTCCAGATTTAGTTTGACGACATGTTATATCCACAGCTGTACTTTTACTTGACTGTGCATGAAAACTTAAGTGCACTTGGATATAGAGGAACCAGCAGCTGGTGGTTCTGCTGGTCACATGGTCTCACCTTCACCGCCTCTGGAACGTCGCACACAGCGGCCGGATCCATTCGCACCAGACGTGTCACCTCAGAGACGATGGCCTCTGTGTTTTTAAATCTGAAATAAGAAACCCAAAAGACACAGGAGAATCGAGGTTTTAACTGTGAAGACATCAACAGAACAATACAAAATGTATTTTAACTGTACATTAAACCTGATATCGAAACGTTGTAGAGTGTTGTTTCCCAAAAACTGGGTTGCAACCCTTATTTTTGGGTCGTCTTGCATCATGTTTTCCAGGAGTTTACCAATAATGTCTACTGACTTTGGTCGAGAAGGTTTGTGACTTTTAAAATATGGGTCCCTAGAAAAAAAAGTTTGGGATGTAGAGCTGTGGTCGCTGAAATGGTTCTTTCTGTGCTGCTGGTATTATTTCTCACTTATATGTGCGTGAGTCGTTTGAGTTGAACACAGGTAGTGTATGGAGCAGAGAAGAACTGCAAACATGTAGATCTGCTCCCAGAAGAAGAAGACTGGAATTTAACTTTTATCTGATAGGCTTCTTTCACTTCATTTTTTACTTGGCATTAATAAAACTAAAATAAAAATTATTTTTTCTGGTTTATTCCTTTCTAATTTTAATAAGAATCAGTCTGAAAACAGTTGGGAAAAAATACAGTAGAACCCCAAGATACGAGCTCTGATTTGTATTCTTTCATTAGAGGGCACCATGCTCATATTTATTGACAGTTTCTTGCTTTATTTCTAGAGAAAATCACGTAGATAATGCAAAAAAAATACGGAAGACTCGCGGGAGATGTGTATGGAAGTCGACGACCACATGAAGTGAACGAGTGAGGCGGCGTGGGCTGCTCCAAGAGCTCGGTCAATTAGCGTCAGTGTCTGTAAGTGTGCTCATATCTCAAATCTTTACTTGAATCTCGAACAAAAATTTCCTTGAAGGCTTGCTCGTATCTCGAACTATCGAGAGTGTAATCTAACGCTGTGGTTCTGGTGTTTGAATATATTTTATAATATTTCATCTGTAGTGTACCTGGTGGGCAGCTGCAGGGCCAGATAAGGTGCTATGCTCCAGGATAGGTTGACGTGGTCCTTCCACTGTTTCTCTGTCAGACTGATGTATTTGGATCTCCAGTTGGCAATGCTCGTCTCGACTGACTGCTCCGTAGCAATAGCAAGCTCCTGAGTGGAGAGTGGGTTGTACCATATGGTCAGCCGTTCGATCTCGCTGGCCTGGAGAAACATGGCAGTGATGAGCCCGAGTTAGGTTTCAGTTTCGGACCGGACTGTATGAGACAAATATCCTGGAACTAGATTTTAAAAAAAAAAGTTAAATACCAATAATGCTAGTAGCAGAGTCCTGCGTTTCATATAGTATTTGTGGAGCTGAGATCCTCTGTTGCTCTTTTTAGACAGTCCTGTCAAAGTCACATATTTCTATTAAGATCTCTCAGGGGCGACATGTTGTTGGAAACTCAAGATTCTTATCCCGTGTGTTGTTACCGGATTTTTTGGAGATGGTGGACATCCCTGAAGACAGAGGATAGGTGTTGATCCATCCCTGAGCCACCTGCTGCCTCTGTCCCACTGCTGCATCCAGATTACTGCGGCTGTCAGTCACTGTCATGACAGACAGACTGTTCACAGACATGTCCTGGGGATCTATGGGAACAAAAATAAATATAAATTAATCCAACTACAGTATCAACTGAGGATTCAGTCATTGTTTTAGTTATTTAGTTTGTACCGTACCTGGAGGAACCAGCTGGTTTGCAGTCAGATATTTCTTATCTGACAGCAGAGTGGCATAAAACTTGATCATTATACTGATGTCTTCTCTCAGTCGTTTGTCAGTCTGTGTTGGGAATTTGGGAGCGACACTGCGAGGACAAAACAGAGATGACAAAGTGTGAAAAAAAACAAAACAACTTTTAATAAAATATTTTGTTACTCTCCTACCTGAAATAGTCAAAGGCTGTGGAGTAGATTTTCTCTCGGAGCACGTTTCTGATGGTGGCATTGGTCACCACATCAGCATGTAGTAGAGTCAGACCCAGAGTGAGGAGTCTAAAGGCGAGTGGTAACACAAACATTTGGTCAAGTCCAGGATTAGTACAGAGAATTTCACAGTTTGTTTCGGTGTAAGAATGACACCTGAATCTTGGTCCAATGGCAGCAATATGACGGTTGAGGCTGCTTTTAGCTCCACCCACATTTAAGGTCAGGGATCGCTGCAAAACTGTGGTGAAAATCTCCACCTGATCCGCACTGCTGTATTTGGCTATTTCGAACCTCTGCACAAGAAACTGGAGAAGGAACAAAATATTAGACCCGAGATTTCAATGGTTTTTAAATTTGTGCAAGTTTCAGAAAAATGCAAATGTTTCAGTGGACTTATATCAGGTTCTATTTGTACTGGCATGTCAGCAAGACAAGTAATAAAATTAGAGTTTAAAAAAAAAAAACTTTTAGCCCCAGTATCTCACACCTCAATCCAGAGAAAGTGAGGGATGACATCGGGTGCACAGGGCGTAGGTTGACTCTCCTCGGACACGGCCAGTGGACCTGCTTCTACTTCGGTCTCTGAAAACAAACCCGTCTTCTGCTCCACTGTCATCTGCCAAGCACCTGCCATCTCACGCATGAACTATAAGACAAAATTTAAATAATAATACAAAATAAATATATACAAATATCATATAAATATAAGTATAATGTTATCAAAACTATAATATAAATAAATAATTTAAAAAAATAACAATGATAAGTTGCCATACTGGAACTTCCACTCCATTGTGAGCAGCGAGCAGCCACTCCCAACAGGCGATAGCTGTTTCCATCCCGTGTTCTGTGAACATCTTCAGTGGAGACCAGCACAGATGGTGCAGGAGCTGAGGATCACAATCTGAAGGACATGATGTTTTAAGTCACTCTTATTGCAGAATACGTGAACATCATCGCCTACGTTAAAAGGAAACGTGGCAGATCTGCTCACTTTTGGTAATGATGAGCAGGGCGGCCATCTTGAACATGGTCTGTGTGAAGGCCTCTGGGTCGTTTTTGTCCAACGCATCGGTCATCTGATTGATCATCAGCTTGTTGAGGTCAGACTGGCTGTGAGTGGCCTCTGAGAACTGGATCATACCGGTCACCTGGACACCACCCATAAAGACACAGGTGTGAATTGTCATGGATGTAGACATGAAGTGATGTCACCTTGGTTTGTATAAAACTGAACAGACCTCTCCTGTGTAGCGGTTGCGCAGGTTGAGTGAAGCCATGAAGTTGGAATAATCCTTCTTCACACAGGTAGGTCTCTCTGTCAGCTGAGTGATCTGATAAAAACATATTAAATACAACACTTAAGAAAACTACAGCTAGACTTAATTAAAGAAAGTCACTGCAACATTTAATATATTAAAATAAGAGAACTTTTGTTGATGTTAAAAGCCACTTCCAGTTTCACCAGATCAGAAATAGTTTTTAGTTTGCTTTAGAAACTGACAGATTGGACTCCGGAGCAACAGGAAGCGTCCGCCATGAGTCAAGATTTGTCCTTAAACTAAGCAAGGTAACGTTACAGACATACACATCACGACCCCTAGGGGCAGCGTTCAGTTCTAAGGATGTCATTTCCTTATTATTCCAGTAATAATTTAAGAAATAATTTTATTTTAGTGGATGTCCTGTGACAATAAATCCACACACAAATCCACCTGAACTCAATGTTTGTTATGGACTTTTAGCTTCTTTGTTAAAGTCAGGTCATCATCATCCACAACTTAAATATCAAGGACTCTAGCCTTGAGTTTTGAAAATAGTGAGAATGTTCCTTTGGGGTTTTTTTTTTTTTTTGCACTTTCCTTGTTTCCTGAAACTGAGACTGTATTGTGTAAAAATGAGTGACCAGAGTACATTTAATACAAGGACTGATGTGACATATTGTGGCAGTGCATTAGCTCACCAAACTATGACTATGAAATATGTAACTCGTGTGTTGCAATCAAAGCTAAAAGTAGTTTAAATAAATATCACATGTAGTGAAACAATGGTGCCATGCCTCAGCTCTCTCAGTCTAGATTCTGAGTTTAGACCAACCTGAGGGAAAGCAGCCTACGGTTGGCCACGTGGAGGAGCATAAGCCAAATGGACACCCAGCCAACAAACCCACCCGTCCATTGCAGGTAAGTAACCAGGTACCCAGCAAATCCATAAACCAGCCAAGCAACCAGGTAGGCAGATTGATGCATTATTAATAAAGACAAAACACAACAAAATGAAGCAAATGAAAGACAGATAAAGCAGAATGCAGGACCAAAAACAAGAACAAGTGTGAACGTTCACACACAGCAAGCAAAAAAAACCAACAACACATGCACGGATAGACGTACAGTAAATATAGTACTGCAAACAATAATAGTAACTACAGTGTTTTCAGTGAAACAACACGTATATTAATGTGTATGTGCACAAAGGATAAAAGTCAGAGACGACAGACGCTTTGACAAAGCTGTTACATAAAAAAGCACAATGAGGTTTAAAAGCCATTACACACAATTGATCTTTCATACTTAAGTGATTTCATTAGCATCCCCACTGGTGAAACCTGTCAATATTGATGGGGAGATGATGCGACAGCATTTGCGTGTAACCGTGTAACTCACGCCTAGTGTTGTACTCTGCCTGTTGTAGCCTGCAAAGTGCAGTATGCTCTCCGTAGCCATAGCCAAGCCAGTGTGCTGGGACAGTCCTGACACCCAGTTCTGGTGTTTGTTCAGGTATTCCTGCAGTAAAATGTGGCATTCAGGACCAATCAGTGAGGAAGAGGAAAAACACAAGAGAACAAAAAAGTTAAACGAGAGGCTTGGAATTATGTTGTGATTCTCTATGTTGTAGTTCTGAAAACTGACCTGTAGGTGGGACTTTGTGACTGAAGGAGCCCATTTCATTGCCTCTTTCAGGATCTCACCACAACGAGCAGCAAAATCTTTGACTATACTCTATAAGAAATATTAAAACTTAATGAGTTTAATATTATATTATAACAATACGAAGAATTTAAATATCTGCTACTAAACTTTTACTTTTACTTTAACAAATCACAAAATTCAGCGTCACTACTTTTCAAAATAAAAAGAAGACTCTGCTGCCATCTTGTGGTCCTAGGTATGACTCACCTCTCGGGCTTCATAAGTGTCAGGAACGGTGATTCTGTAGGGAGTGTCTGGAATATCATAGTACGGCTGATCTTTGTGGATATCCTGTAAAAACAACATAAAATTTCCATTATAACAAAGTTTTTTTCTTTGACCTTTGTGTTACAGTCTGGAGTTAAATCAAAAACATTTGTTTTTCTTACAGCACTTAGTGAAAGAGACAGTGTCTGCAAAATATCCAACATTGTCTTCAGGACACGGCCGCTCCACAGCAGATGTGGGAACCTGGTATTTGAACACCAACGTCATTTAAACATCTGAGAATGTAGCAGAAAAATAGTTAACTGTGGGTTAAAAAACAATGACCCACGTCTCAGCCAAACCAGAGAGGTATTTGTCTGCCACTCTTCTGATCCTCTTGTGGGTGTGATTAAAGTTGATCAACAGAAACTGGGCATGTCGCTCCAGTTCTTCTTCGTGCTCTTTGGTCTTCGGCTGCAAAGACGGAAAAAAAACATGTTTATTTTCTTAATTACCTGCTGTGAAACCACGACATATTAAAGATATCCTTACAACACACACCTTTTCAGCCATCATTTGGAGAAAAACATCAAAAACTTTGTCACCAACACAAATAATGCACTGCATCATGCCTGTGAAAAAAAAAAAAAACAGAAGGCTAAATTAGTAATATTTCAGAAGACGAGCAAACAACCAGTCTACAAGCGTCAGGTCAGCACCTGATTTGTCCTTCTGAATGGCTTTGTCCTCAAAATATCGAAACATGACCTGAAACCTGTCGGGATCATTGGATCTCAGCATCCTGGAGGTGGAAACAGCAGGAGGATTAAAGAGTTGTTTTTTTTAAAGTCAGATCCAACAACAACAAAGGAACAAATCATTTGTTTTCCATAACAAAAATACATAAACACTTTACTCTTGGCCTGTGTTCTGTCATTGTATGAAATTTAAAATGAATAACTCAGCTTAAATTTTGTATAATTCTACAGACAGGAGTACAATTGTAATCATATAGATTGGGGTGGTCTCCAACCCCTGGTCTGTGGACCAGCACCAGTCCATAGGTCACTTGGTACCGGGCCACAGTTGGAGACACTGAAAATGTACCTAATTTTCACTCATTTACTTCATTCATATAAAATCCAGTCATATCCTTTACTTTTTTTATTTAAAGATAATCTGGCAATATTTTAAAATAATATGTCATTTAGACTCTGATACAAACAGAATAGTATAACTAGTAGATCACAATCTAGTAGATATTTTATTCTGAAAATTTAATGATCCTTCAATCCTCAGCACCTTGATACTGCTCTGTAGTAACAGCTGGTACTGGCTGACCAGTGTTTGGAACAAAAAAGGTCAGTGACCACTGGTATAGATGTAACTACTCCTGATACATGTTTCTGCAATTGATTAGTATTTGATTGATTATAATAACCTTTAATTTCTCAGGTTAAGAAACTCGGTTGCATGGACTTTACTAAATTATTTTTAAGCTGTCCACACAATACTGCTTGGCGGGCCGCATTTGGCCCCCGGGCCTTGAGTTTTACACCTATGCTATGGAGGAATGAATTTCCTGTTTTTACTCCCAGAACTACTTCTTGGGGAATAAAGAATTTCTCTTTCAGATACTGTTTTTGTGAAGCCCAACTATTAACTAACTGTGTTACACCAACAGAATGAAAAGCCTCCACTAACACAGTGACACAAGGCAGAAAACTGACAGACGATGTTCATGTGAGTGGAGCTGACCTCATGTATTCTAATCTGTAGACTGACAGCAGATAGGTGGACATGGCGAAGTCCAGCTTGTTAATGAGGGCAGATCCTTCAGGAGGAGGGTCCAGGAGATTGCTGATTGTTGCCCTCAGCTCACTCAGCTCTGCCTAGTGGACAAATAAAGTAATTGCAGGGTTAAATCCAACAATTTTTTGTGTGGCATTGAAAACATTTTTGTTTTCATTTTTAGAGAGAGATGATGACATCACCGGTGTAACTGTGTCATTCTTTAGAGCTGAGTTGTACTGCAGCTCAGAACGAAGAGGTTCTCCGCTGGGGAAGGTGAGGAGAGGAGACTTGGTGGCGATTTCACACACTCCTTCATACCACTCCTCTGGCCAAAGCCCTGAAAATGACATGTAGTTGTTGCAGATGTATTTATTTGAACAGTATTTCATTCATTTCATTAACACTCAACACAGCTTGTTAGTAACAGGGTTTTGTTCAGGCTGTAGGTTAGTCATCTTAAAGACTGGGTTTTTACCACTTAAATTCCAATTATTTGAAGCTTCAACTTTATAATTTTCAAACAGACAACATTGTTATGGGTGCTTAAATAGTGATGCATTTATTCTTGATGCTGATTTTACAAATTCTATGAATATTTATCTACATTTAACAAATTTATCTCTTTAGTGTTGTGTTGGAGTAAATACCATCTAAAAGTGAAAAGGTCATGATGCAGATTAGAACATGCTGTGTACTGTTTTCCACTTCCATACCTGATCCTTCTTCTGCGAAGCCCATGACCACAGAATACAACCAGAAGTCCCTGAAAAGCTTCTGGAGGCGGGGCTTAGCCTCCTTGATTGGCGGAAGTCGTCTGGTCAACTGAGTGTATGAGGGGGTAAACTAATCATTATTTTTACTTTAATCTAATTTCAGCTAAATTAAATTAAAAATAGAAATAGCCAAAAAAAATAAATGACATTAAAAATACAGCTAATTAAAATTAAACACAACATTAAAAAAAAACAATAATACAAACAAGTGTGTGTTTACAGTATTTTTTTAAACATTTTTTAAGCAGCCAAATTGTGGAAAGTCAAAGACTTTCAGTCGGTCAAAGCACTTTTTGTTCTGTTTGATTTGGTCTATTTGTTCAGGAGGAGCCTGCATCAAAGTTCAGTTTTGGATTCAATTCTTTGCTCTTAGTCCTACAGACAGAAGCACTTAGACCAGCTCAAAGAAACGGTAAGATATTTCACTCACTCCCGCATTCTGACCATTCTAAACTGAACTAAACTCACAGGGTGTTCTCTCCGCCTTAGGCCTCAGGATGTGGGTCACCGCCATCATCTCTGTCTCCCTGTTGTTCAGTCCATGCCTGGCTGATATCAAAGAGTTAAGCTCGCACTTCACTGACCTTAGCCCAGACCCCAGAGGCCTTGGAGCAGATGGAGCAGCAGACGTGGACACCATTCCCTTGGACTTCCACAGAGAAAACACTGTGACCAGCGACCTCATTTTTGACGGTTTTGAGGACGACGACTATATCGATTTTGACAAGATCCTGTCAGAAGGCAGCGACGACTACACGTACGTGTATTGTGTACTTGTAGATTGCGTAGAGGTAGTTAAAGTTACGGTTATGGTTATTAAACTTATGGTTATTACATTGTTGGAACTACGAGAAATTATTCTTTTCTAAGAATATGTGTAGTTTTTTTTTCTAATCACACCTTAACAACTCCTTAATGGTTTTTAGCTCCTGTTTTCTTTAAAATTTTCTTTAAAATTTTGTCCAGGTTCAGTAACCTTCACTTGTCTGGTGGAGATGGTTCTTTATGATTAAAAATATGCTTCTTTTTTTGTATTGCTGCAAATGGAATGGCAAACAAACAAACAAACTTCACAGCTCTCTTTCTTTCTCCCTCGTTTTTATTTACCTGTGGAGGGCGTTGTTGTTTAGCTTATAGGCCTCCCCTTCATTATCAGAACAGGAAACATCTCTATATTTAAATATCTCCATATATATCTTGTAGATTTTCTAGGTTAAATAGATTATCAACAACATTTCTTAAACCAGTTATTGAAACTCTTGAGACATTGAGCATCAACTACCTTTTTCTAAAAAAGTCCTGTGCTGTAGTTTGTCTTTTTTTTTTTTTTTAATTTCCAGTTCTTAATACATGGTTTCTTGAAATGCTGCGTTCCACATGATCTGTCCCTCATCTCTACGCATGTTGTTTTGCAGCGAGGGGGACGAGATAGACGAGATAGCCACACCGGCCCCAGACATCGATATCTTCGCTGAACCCTCCGATCCCAAGATTCGCCGTGCTAGACTCCTGCGTCTGTTTCACGGACGCTCTCGCCTTCAGCGCATCAACATCGTCAATGCCCATTTTGGCTTCAACCTCTACCGCAGTCTGCGCAACGACGTCAACCAGACCGACAACATCTTGCTGGCTCCGGCTGGGATCTCCATCGCTATGGGGATGATGTCTTTGGGCGCCGGTGCCGGGACTCAGGATCAGATCTACAGGGCTCTGGGCTTCGCGGACTTTGTCAATGCCAGCCACCATTACGACAACTCAACGGTGCACAAGCTCTTCAGGAAGCTAACACACCGGCTCTTCAGGAGAAACTTTGGGTACACGTTACGCTCTGTAAACGACGTCTACATCAAGAAAGACGTTCCTATCAAAGATACTTTTCGTGCGGAGACGAAAGCTTACTACTTCGCGGAGCCGCAATCTGTGGAATTTGGGGATCCCGCCTTTCTGAACAAGGCTAACCGTCGCATTGAAAAGCGAACCAAAGGGCTGATCAGGGAACCGCTGAAGAGTGTAGACCCAAATATGGTGCTGATGCTGCTCAACTATCTGTACTTTAAAGGTGAAACATCCATCATCCAGTTTCAACTCCCGCGTCAATGCAGATTATTTCTTATCTGACTTGTTTGTTTGTTTACAGGTACATGGGAACAGAAATTCCCTAAAGAAATGACACACTATCGCAACTTCAGGATCAACGAGAAGGCGAACGTACGTGTTCCAATGATGACCAACAAGGGCAACTATCTGGCAGCTGCTGACCACGAGCTGGACTGTGACGTCCTGCAGGTGGGTGGACATTGACGAAATGACTATCAGAACATCTTGAACAACATGAACGTCGTGTGGGTAAACATCTAAGCTGCACAATAACAACTGACCTACTTTCAGCTGCCGTACACAGGAAACATCAGCATGCTGATTGCCCTGCCGAGAAAGATCACCGGGATGAGGAACCTCGAACAGGAGATCTCTCCTACTGTGGTCAACAAGTGGCTCAAAAACATGACCAACAGGTCCACAACGTCATGAGCTTTATACTAACTGAAGGGCTTATGATGCACTAATAATTAATTTTTTCCCCCCTCTGCAGGACCCGTGAGGTTGTGTTACCTCGGTTTAAATTAGAGCAAAACTTTAACTTGAATGAAAACTTGAAGGAGATGGGCCTGACTGACTTGTTTCAGGCCAGTGGAGATTTTTCCGGAATGACAGATGAAAAGGTTTCCATGAACTGGGTGAGTAAAAATATTTAGAGGAAAAAAAATAATAATAAAAAAACCAATTTCCATGTCTTCTTATTTCTAATCTCTGCAGCTGAAGCACCAGGGAACTATCACTGTGAACGAAGAGGGGACAGAAGCCGCTGCTCTGACCCAGGTGGGCTTCATGCCCCTCTCCTCTCAGATCCGATTCACCGTGGATCATCCGTTTCTCTTCCTAATCTACGAGCATCGCACAGAATGCCTGGTGTTCATGGGTCGTGTGGCCGATCCTTCTCAGAGCTAAACTACGCAGTACACAATGTCCCTCTTTAGTCAAACTAGGTTTTAACAAACCTCCAAAAATACTGATTTTAACAACTTAGGTATTGTTATTAATTTAAAAACAAAACACAATATGTCAATTGCTTGTTTGGTCTTTGCTTTGTAGTTTGTCTTTATTGGAACATTTAAACTTCTCTATTCTGTTTAGAGCTCTGAGTCTGAGTCATACAGTGAATACTTGTTATCTCTTTGTTAATGTTTTATCTAGTGCAGTGAAGGAAGAAAAGGTAACAGTCGCTGCACCAATACTGTTCTGTACAGATATAATACCAAGAAAAACATGGATGAATTCTATCATCAACAAAGGAGATAATAAAATAATAACCAACACATTCTCACGTCCAGTTACATGACATTTTGGGGCGGAAAGAACTTCAAAATGGTGTAAAGTCATAAAAAAAATATTTTATGTTTTATATTTTATGTAACTTTACATTTAGCACAGTATGATAGTAAAAGAGTTGTTATTAGGCTGGTTAAAAAAAAAAAACCTAAAAATAACAAAGCACTTGAACTGAAGAGAGCTGATGGAGTAAATATTTGATCAGAGGGTTAAAAGCTCACTCTTGGCACAGCGTTGTCTGTACGAGTGCAAATACTCCAGTAGATCATTTAACTGCACTCTGAGAGAGTGATTTGTTAAAACACAGCCTTTAAAAAAATCCTAGAAATTGAATTAAAAAAAAAACATCTGCTAAAATATATAAATATTCAAAAGTACTCACCACAGCAATGACCGGGATCAGGACACCCAGATTTCCAGCACTGCTTGATGCCTATAGAAAATAAAGAGTCGTTAATGACGTCACAGCACTGTTTTTTTTTTATTATTCTAAGTTGATTGTAAGTGTAAACGTGAGAGTGAACAGTTGTTTGTCTTTATACATGGCCTTATGATGAACTGGCGAATGGTGCGGAGTGTAAGACCGCCCTCGCCTGGTGACTGCTGGGATCGACTCCCTGTACGGTACCTTCAGTGCTGGTCCTTTATCTGAGGCTCTCTCACTGGCTCTCTTTCCTTCCAGACCCAGTTGGACAAACAGCTCTAAAAGGTTTACCATTAGTTCGTCCGCCAGCTGCTCCCAATGCAGGTTGGCTGCGATATTAGCTAAAGCATTTATCACAGCCAAAGAACAATGCCTAAAAAGAAAAAAGGCACAGATTGTAAGCAAAAAATTAATTAAAAAAAATCTAAAGAAAAAGCCAGAGTTTCTATTTTTTGTTTTTAAGTTTGGTATTAATGAAATTTCCAGAAAACAAACTTAAACTTGGAATTCATGCATGCTACTTTTATAGCCTTAAAATTTTGTTTTTCTCTCTTTATAATCAGAATTTTAAAAATTACAGATCATAGTCTTTGTGCATAATTTCTTTTAACCACATTTTTCCAAAAGTGTGTTCTCGCTGACCCTCTGACCTGTAGCCTTGATCTCTGTAGTCTTTGGTGGCGGAGTAAACCACTGAACTGGCCTTCACACTGATTTGCTGGAAAAGGTTCCACACTTCCTGGTAGATGTATTGCTGTTAAGACACACAGAAGATGAAATGCCACGGTTGGAGTGTGCAAAAAAAAGAAAAAAGAAAAAATCAATACAGCTCAAGATTAAAAGCCAATATCCTTACATTACTTAAACAATTTCCTTTCTACATTAGCATATAAATATGTCAAAACTACATTAGGACCAAACCATGAATCTGCACCTGCTACACTGGCTGCCAAACCATCCTCAGTCCTGGGTTAATTATGGGCTCTCTAGTGACACCAGCTGCCAACAACAGCCAATTACACTCCACGGATGTGTCAGCTAGAAAACTAGAAGCTTGTACTCAATGCAAAGTGTAATGAGCAAGTAAATGCTGTGCAGTCAGGAGGCTTGGACTAATTACAGCTGCTCTGTATGGAACGGAAACAGTTTACTTTCCTGCTATTTATGGAGCAATAATGTGACAGCTTACATCTAATTAAATGTAATTTTCTCCAGTTGATTAAATACTTCATAATTTAAATACAATATGCCGTGATGGCTAATAATTTCCTCCACACCAATGCAACAGCCATCTGTAACCTTTGTGTACGTACATTTCCTGTGATGACCATGCAGCCCAGCTGGTCGATGATGAGAACGTCCAGCTGTGAGGGAGGCTGACAGAACTTCTGTTGAAGAATCTGAAGGATGTGCTCCATGACTTTAGGAGCATCTCTCAGAGCCACTGCGATGTGACCCAGGGCACGAATGGTGTGATCGGGGATGAGGTGAGCATCCCTGCCAAAAAAGTATTTTTTTTTTTCATCAGCATCAAAAACCTGCAGATGTACTGTGATGTTGTTTACAGTTATAAAAGTTTCCTACTTGTCATTTTCTTGTGAAATGTAAAGACGGTTGGACAAACTGGCCAGAAATGCCTCTGCGATGACCCGGTCCATGGTCAGTCCAGCTTTGAGACATCTGGGAGACGGTAAATGCACAAAGATGAATTTTCACTTAACAATTTCTTTCTTTCTTTTTTACAAATGTCATTTTGTTGCTTCTCCTGATCTTTTTGCCCAACCTGCAAATGTTGTCGATAGAAATGTCTCTCAGCTGCTCATACATGGACGGCTGGTCCTTCCTGCTGGACAGGGGGGTGAAGGTGGACTGAGAATGTTCGTTGGTCACATTGATCCTTATTTCTCCGGCACCTTGAAAAACAACAGAAACACCAAAAAAGAAGATGAAAATAGAGGAGAGAACATATACAACAAATGTGGAAAATGCTGTTCAGATTCTGATCTCACACAGAAAGGTCAGACATAATCATTAACAGCTACAGATTTATTATATATAAACCAGTTTATGGACAATAGAAAAAAAATCAGTAACCTTTTTAATTATGTGTTTGTGCAGCTGCTTGTCAATACACACCAACTTTATTCAGATCAATGGTAGATAGAGCTGGGCAATAAACATTGATTGATATCTTGTTATTGTTTCACCACCGACAACATTCCCCACTGTTTAACTGTTGATTTATTGTCCTGCTTGTGCTGCAGTGTTGAGTTAATATA